TCTCGGTGCCCAGCACTGCACCTGGTACATAGAAGCGCTCATGCATGCGGAATGACTGTCAGCACCTCTTACTGTGCCCAGGGCATAACACCGATTTGTATCCTTATGTTCACTAGGAGATTGCAAACCTTTCAGAGCTAAGTGCCAAGTCCTTGCCTAGCGGGGCCCACAGCCCTGATAAATGTCATCCATATTCCTCTGAAATGAATGATAATGAGGGTTGTGCTGGAGGCCTCCCTCTGCTACCTGCTTCCTGAGACATGGCTGCTTCTGAAAGCAGAGCTGCCGATCACCCTAATGTCCAGTCCCTGCACCTCCCTGACTCAGTGGCCTTTGACATCTTTTTTAATATCTGTGACGTGCAAGGCTTGCCAGGCAGGGCCTTCATCACATTCCTATACCTCACTGCAGATGACCCTTGGATTTATCATCATCACCAGCTCCTTCTTGAACATCCCTAAGTTCTAGTCATGGTGCTGAATGCTGGGTGGGGGTCGGGGAGATAGTAATGTTGAAGAAGAGCCAATCCCTGTCCTAGCACATTTTGCCATTTGGCTGGTTTGAGAGATTAGATATGTACTTAGAAGAAGCTTGTCAGATTATAGGTCAGTCTGTAATAGATGCCAGTGATGGGGTAGAGTTCATAAGTGGTGCCCCAATTTCAGAGTAGGGAGAGTATAAGATAGAAGCATGGGTGGCGCTGGGGGTCCTCCACGGCATCACCCACACCCCTCTTTTTCCAAGCTCAGATGCCAGTCCATGGCCCTCACTCCCACCTTCCACTCCTCTGCCCCCTCAAAAGGGAACAGGACAGGGGTGTCTGAGGAAGTGATCGCAATGTCCCACTGGACCGGGTGCAAGGCCTTGTGCCTTAGAGGCAGTCATCAGAAAATGTTGATAACTGTAGAATCACTGAGTGAGTCAAGACCACCCTCAACTGCACCCATCACCTGAGACAGAATGTGATACAGTCCCCCCTGGGATTCACCCCACTGAACCTAATGAAGAACACCCAACTGATGAGGTCACCCAGTCAAGTCATTTTCTGAGAAGAGGCCTAGAGAACGACCTTCCGCTTTGCACACTTAGCCTTCCAGTACATGGCTTAGGGCGCCACCTGGTGACAGCCTCCAGGAAAGGTCTCTCCTCTCTGCTCACTCCGTCTCCTTCACCACACTGGCCAGCCTGGGTCCTGGAAACCGAGGGAAACCAGGACCCCAAGGTCCCAAATTCTCCGAAACACAGAACCAACCATCTTCCAAGCCCACCTCCTGGACTCCTCCTGTGTGGCCTTGGCCCTGAGCACCTCTTAGGGGAAAATGTCACCTGTATCCTAGCTTCTTAGATGCCCCTAAAAGATTCAATAGTTTGGGGTTATCCTGGGCTTCCCAGCCCATAAGGTGGGGGGATCTATGGTCACTCCCCACACCCCCAGGGATTACGGGGGGGCTTATGTTTCCAAGTATTACCTGAAGATCTGCTTCTTTGTTCTGCTGGTGTCAGAACCCATGTTCACAACTCAGGTTAGTTCTGGATGAGAGAGCTGTGTGGACAGGCAGACAGGGCCCTGTCCCTGTGAAGCTGACCCTCTAGCTGAGGGAGACGGGTGATAAACAACTGGGATCCTCGTAAGTGGATGACTTGTGCAGTAATACGTGTTGTGAAGAAAATGGAGTGAACTGAAGCGATAGGGGACGGCTGGTGGGGAAGAAGGGAGGCGCCTGCACAGAATGGTGTCAGGGGTGGCTTCTCCAAGAAGGTGGGGTGTAAGCCAGGACCGAACGGGGAGGAGACAGAGGGAGGGGAAGAGTGGACAGCGAGGGACGCGGGGGGAAGGAGACAGAGAGATGGCTTCACCTTTGCGGAGAAGTACCCAAAAGAGACCCTCAAGCAACCAAGATAACACTGAAGGCCAGAAATACCAGTGGAGTTCAACTGTACATGTGATGGACAGTGCGGCTGCAGTTCCCAGCGCGGCTCCTCGTTTTCAGTAAACTCATCACACTCACAAATGTTCTATGTAAGGGATTTTTTTACTTTTTGTATCTGTTTTGGTTTTGGTGGAAATCAAAGGAAGAACTGAGATTGCCAACCACGGAGCAGAACAGCCAACGCATGTCCGAACAGAGAAGTCTGAAGACAAAGCAAGTGTGAGCTCACAGGTCCCCCTGGAAATTCCACTTGGCAGAGCTTCAGACCACACCAGGCTCATCACGGCTGCATCCCAAGGAGCAGGGGGCTGGGGCTCATTGTTAGGATACAATTCCCAATGTCGATTGAGTGACTTTGTAAGACCCTTACATCCAATAGCTCATTTCTTCTTTGCAACCAGGGACCGGTTATTTCCACATCGTAGATGAGGAAACTCAGGCTAGGAGAGGTTAAGCAAGTTGCCACAGATTACATAACGGGTAAGTGGGAAAGGCAGGGTCTGAGTTCAGGTCTGACTCTACCCCTGAGCCTGAACCGCGCTCTGTATATGACGTATATGAATGAGTTTAAAACGCAATGCTGCTCCTGCCCGCACACCCAGCATTCTGGGACATGTGGACACAGCAGCCCCTCACTCTCCTGAATCCCCCCAGAGCAGTTGGTCTGTTTAAACCTCAACCCCTAGAGCACCTTTGGTTATCACAGCTGGTGGGGGATGGGAGCTGCTCCTGGCATCAAGTGCACAAAGGCCCGGATGCCACTAAACAACCTATATTACATGGGACGGTCCTTCTCACAACAAGGAATTGTCCAAACTAAAATGTCACTAGAGCTAAAGTTGAGTGATGTAGAAGACGTCACCAGGGAGAGCAGCTTGCTGACCAACATGACGCCATTTTGATGATTTGACTTCAGTCAGGGGTCTGTTTCTCAGCCTGTAAAACCCAGAACCTAGATTTTGCAAATTCTCTGAGATGGTGACATCCTGGAAAGATGATTTGCATTAAAAAACAAAGAAAGCAAAGCAACTAGATTTTTAATTTTTGAAGCAGATGGACCCCAAATGAAACAACAAGCAAGAACTCTCCCCGTTATTCACAGACGCTATTGCAATACACCCTGGAAAAGCCAGAGGAAGAAAGGGAACAGAAACCACAAATCCATCAAAGCTTTGGGGTCTCTGATGTCCTTTCTGGCAGGTGGGCTAGGAAGAGCAGTTACCCACAGTTACCAAGGGCTACTGCAGGGGCCCCTGGGAACGGCTACTGGAAGCAGCTTCTAGAAGGATCCAGATCTTGAGCTAGTCTGAGTTCCACAAGGACAAAGCCAAAGGGAAGAGCCCAGACACCACCAGGGCAGACCAGCGAGTTCTCCAAAGCTGCATTCACTAATATACCATAAAGAAACCCAGTGTCACACAGTCAAGCTTAGAAATGAATTCTCTCCCAGAAGCAACCCCTCAGAAAACCAATGGCCCCTTCAATTTGGAGGGAATCCCCACAGGGGAATAAGTATGACAGGCTCTTCAGCCTTTGACAGAGCCTGCCTCACCCCAGGCCTGGCCAACCCAGCCCCTTCTGCAAAGGTTCTAGTACCAAATACACACAACCCACGAGCTCTGCTCCTCAGTCCAGGTTACCTGGATTCCACACTGCTAACGTGGGCACACTGACCAGGGTGGGGTTGAGTCTTTCTGCAGCTTGAAGCCAGCAGGTCTCTATGTGACCTGGGATGTGCTGATTTGCGAGTTTAGCCTCTCATGTCCCCTGTCGCCGGGTGCTAATCCATGGGGCTCCTGTCCCCTTCCCTCTGGCCTTGTGCTAGATCATCTGTCACTTTCTACCCTGCAGGGTTCCCTGAGTATGTACATGGTCTCCCCACCTAGTCTAAGGGTGGCAAGGCAGGTTTAACAGCAAAACTCTGGCTTACAAAAAATTTGGGCAAAGTCAAGATGGAATCCCAGCTGTATCACACACTGGGTACCCTGGGCAGTGGATTTAACCTTGCCAAGCCTCAGTTACTTCATCTGTAAATCGGGGCTAATAACAATAATCTCATGGGGTTGGTGTGAGGATTTAACGAGGTGAGGAGCATGAAATGCCTAGCACAGTGACTGGCAAATGGTGAGTTCTCCGCAAATGTCAGCTGTCACCATGGCTGTCGCTTTGCACAGCGCCTAGCAAGGGCAGTGGTACCTTACACACGCGTCCCACATAACAGCCGCCCAGCGTGCCCACAGACAGCATGTTTGGGGTTCAGAGTCTATATGGAACTACTGGTGCCCTACTTGTTTCCTGCATGAAACCTGATCTGACCGGCGTGGATTAAAGACGTTAGGAGGGCAAAAGGGGAAACAGGGTGGCCAGGTGCCACCTGAGGTCCAGATGTCAATCTTGCCTCCTCCCCTTCCTAGCTCGATGACCCTCGCAGGCAATGGAGACAGCTACCTTCTAGACCAGCCCCGTCCAACAGAACTATATCACGAGCCACAAATGCAAGTTGCATATACGTAACTTTAAAAAACTTAGTATCCACACTATAGAGTAAAAAGGAACAGATGAAATTGACCTTAATAATGTCTTTTATATAACCCAAGATATCCAAGTCCAAAAGATTATCATTTTAGCCTGTAATCAATTTTTAAAAATTAAAGAAATATTTTATATATTTTTTTAAAACACGAAGTCTTTGAAATCCAGCATGCGTTTCATAAATACAGCACATCTCGATTCAGACTAACCAGATTTCAGGTGCTCAGTGGCCACGTGCGGGGAGTAGCGCAGTGCAGCTCCAGGATGTTATAAAAATTGCACCAGTTCGTCCCAAATAAGCACATGGTAAATGCTGGTGTTATTGCTTCACCCCCAGAAGCGGACAGCACATGGGCAGTAGTCTGAATAATTATGTGTCAAAGTATTTTTTTTAACACTCATCATTTTACATCAGGAACATACTATACACTACAGCATAGAGGCTGAGCACACAGCCTCTGAAGTCAGACTGCCTGGGTTGGACCCCACCACTGCCTCTTACTTACCATCTCTGTGCCTCAGTTTACTCACCTGTAAAAGGGGATTAGAATAGTACTTCCATATAGGGTGGTTGTACCTATGAAATGAGGGACTTCAGGTAAGTGCTCAGAACAGTGTCTGCCATATGGCAACGTAAGGGTAGGTATTATTGTTCCATGTTTATTGAAGGAAATCTGAAAATACAAAAACATTGGAGGAAAAATTAGTCAGTTAACCACCAGGATCTTTTTCACCCCAAACAATCAGAGGTGACATTTTTAGTTCAGTATCTTCTTGATAAAACATGGGGCCCCACCTAGTTCCTCTCTTGATAAGTTAGAAAGGGCCTCTCTCATCCTCCCCTCACTCCCCACTCTATCGCCTTTTTCTGCCCTTGAAATCTCTGGCCCCAGAAGAAAAGTGAAGGTCAGAGGACATTCCTATGAACCTGAAGATAAGCAAAGAAATAGACTCATGCTTCAAGGCAACATGGCTCTGCTCCTTGCCCAGTGGCAGTCTTATTGGTGATTAGCATGACATCTTGCTTTCACTTAAATGTCAGTTAAGATGGGATGACTGATTTGGTTACATCACAGCACAGAGCAGCTACGTGCGTCAGAGATGTGGCACCACCACATGGGATAGGCCCAGGGCCCTCTCTCAGTCATGCTGGACAGTCCCAGTGCACCTCGGTGACCCAAATATGAGCAGAGAACACCTGTCCATGGTCACACACCCCCTGCTAAGGCCTGCAGCTCTGGCCGTGGACCTTTCCTTCTAAGGCAGTGGTTCTCAAACTTCCAAGTGTGCTTAAGAGAATCCCCTGGTGTAACTGTTAAAATGTAGATCCCGCTGGGTTCGACCCTTTGAAAGTCTGACTTAACAGCTCTGGGGATTCCGGGAACCTGCATTTTTGTCTTTGCTGTGGGGGATTCTGATTTGATGGCTGTAGCCCATTCTTGGAGAAATCCTGCAGTGTAAGGGTGATAATTCTCTTTGCAGCCATGGCTTCTACAGACACAATGGACCAAGCTAGAGGTAGTGACAGTGAGAATGAGCCTGAGAAAGGAGAGAGAGCCCCCAGCCCCTGAGTGCTTGCCCCACAGTCCTCTCCTTTGAAGCTCAGTGCCTGCCTTTGACCCAAGCACAGACAGCACCATTCACTGTTTTTTAAAATGGTGTGACTGACAGATCACATTCCACAAGTAATGGAAAGAAATACTATGTCTGGAGTCAAATCTTGACTTTGCAACTTAATAGCTGGGTGAGTTCAGGCAAGTTTCTTCCCTCTTTGAGTCTCAATTTACTTATCTGTAAAATAGGGATAATGAAGCCAATCTCTCAGGACTGCTATGGCTGTTAAATTAGATAATGTATATGAACAAACTTACAGCAGCACCTCCTGCATAGTAAGTGTTCATTTGACTTATTCAACAGCTATTTATTGGTAACCAACACATGTCAGGCTCTGCGCTCGCTTCTGAAGCACAAGGGTGGTTTGGAGCCGCTGCCTGACTGCAAGGTGCACTCCACATGCTGCAGGAGGCAGGCAGCAGCTCCCCAAGAGAAGATAAAACAAGAGACAGCTTGGCTGCCCAGGAATATGAATATCCTTCTTTTCCCCAGATGATAATTTGCTACCCATCCAAAAGCTGGGGAGTGTACTACTGAGAACCAGTTGTCCCCTCCCTGTGATTCGCCATGGAAAGGACATGGTCATAATGCTCAGTTGGTGTCCCAAGTAAAGCTGGTCTTCAGTAAAACTTAAACCCACTAAGTGAGACAGGGAATGAGGACCCGGTCGGGGGCCAAAACCCTGTTTTAATGGACATCAAGGATCTTTAGTACATTTATGCACTAATAATCCCAGTTCTTCAAATTTCCTCTAAGAAAATGATCTTAAAAAGAGGAACACTACTCACAAAAATGATATGTCAAAAGCTGTAAAAAAAAAAATTGCATGCCTTTTAACCTAATAATTTCACTTGTAGAAATCTGTAAGTGAGGCATTGTCTAGGTAGATAATGGTGTTTCCAGAAATAATATTCAAAATATCAAACAACCAGTACAAATAAAGGTCTGAAAGCCCTTGCTGTGCCAGGCACCCTTTAGTTGCTAGACTGGGAACAGGCTGGGGGCGGGTGTTCAGGCAGCCTGGGGTGGAGGACAGGCCGGGGGAAGCACTGGTGGTTATCTTCGTACTTAGTGGGTGAAAAGTTCAAATAAGACTCAGAGGAGAATTATGCAGCCATTATAAATGACTGTGGTTACATGTATATACATTTGTCAACTCACCAAATTATACACCTAAGATCTGTGGATGCTACAGTATGTAATTATATCACAACTTTTAAAATTATATGGCATAAATTAGTGGTTAAAAGCCTGTATTCTGAACTCAAATGGACCTGGGTTGGAAATACCAACTCCTCCAATTCACAGACAAGTTGTTTAACCTTTCTCAGCCTTAACTTCCTGTCTATAAGTGAGGATAATGACAGCTTTTACATCATAGTATTGTTGTGAGATTAAGCAAGATAATTAATGAAAAAAAACATTAATACAATGCTCAACACTTACTAAATGCTCAGTAAATGCTAGCCATTATTTGATAATATGGGAAAATATATATGATATATGTATCATATCACATTTGATACACATATGTATCATATACATATAGATATTACAAGGATATTATATATAGATGTATATATACATATAGTCACACATATATGTGTCATATGTATACATATGTATATATAATGAAATATAAAAGCCAAATACAAAAAAGAGGCATGGGGTGGGGTGAGGGGGGAATTGGATGAAGGTGGTCAAAGATACAAACTTCTAGTTGTAAGATAAATTAGTGGGGATAAAAAGTACAACATAATGCCTGTAGTTTTAACACTGCTGTATGGTATATTTAAAAACTGATAAGAGAGTAGATCTTAAAAGTTCTCAGCACAAGGAAAAATAATTTTTCTTTTTTCTTTGTTGTATCTACATGTGATAATGGATGTCAACTAAACTTACTGTGGTAAACACTTTGCAATATATGTAAGTGAAATCATTGTGTTGTATACTTTAAACTTACATGGTGCTGCATGTCAATTATAGCTCAATAAAACTGAAAGATAGAAAACATTTAGAAAAAACAAGGGAAAAATACATTAATATATTAGCAGCAGTAGTTATATCATGGGACAATGGGTAATTTATTTTTCTCTGTAAAACTTTCAGTGCCTCCAAGTTTTCTTTAATTAATATAACTGCTTTGTATTGAAGAAAAAGTATTTTTTAATTTTAAATACAAGATAATGCAAAATCCCATTGTTTGGGAGATAGGAGCACTCCCAAATGCTAGGGTCTGTTAGGCCTGTCCTGGGGGTACTTGGAAAGGGGTGAACCTTCAAAATGAGAGAGTCAAGGGCCAGCTACAGGGAACCAAGCACGCAAAATCCAGAGAATGGGGCCTGCGGATGACGCTGACAGTGGACTCAGCAATTCTGAATAAATGGTGAGCATCTGAGAGAATGAGCAGAATTCTTAAGAAGTACAAACCCCAAACAGGATATATACCAAGAAAAGCATATCTAGGTACATCATAGTAAAACTGCTGAAGATAAACTTGAAAGAAGCCAGGAAAAAAGACACACAATCTTAAAAGGAAAAAGACTAAAAGCTGACTTTTTGTTATAGGTGGAATTGTGCCCTGCGCACCAAATTCATATGTTCAAGTCCTAATCCCAGTACCTCAGAAAGTGATGGACATTGAAGAGGCAATTAAGTTAAAATGAGATCATTTTTATCATTATGGGTCCTGATCCAAGGTGACTGGTGTCCTTGTAAGAAGAGACTTGGACACAGACAGGTACAGAAGGGAGACTATGTGAACACACAGAGGGAAGACGGCTTTCTCAAGCCAAAGAAGGACACCTCAGAAGACACTGACCTTGATGACACCTTGATCTTGGACTTCAGCCTCCAGAATTATGCAAAAATAAATTTCTGTTGTTTAAGTTACCCAGGCTTTTATTTTATTATTGGTATTCTATTATGGCAGCCTTAGCAAACTAATGCACTTTTAAACAGAAATAATAAAAACCAAAAGACAATGGAATGATATCTTTAAAATGCGATAGAAAGTGACTGCCCATCTAGAATTCTATAATCGGCAAAAATGTTCTTCAAAAATGAAATTGAGGCCTTCCATTTCTGGCCAAGATAGAGTAACAGGGACTATATTTACCATCCCACCTAGAACAACAAAAAAGGAGATTTTAAAATACTCAACCCAAAATGTGACCAAAAAAAGGAAAAGTGGAATAGAGAAAAAAAAAAAAAAAGAAAAATAGCGAGATGACAGATTCAAACCTGAATACACCAATAATCAATCACTTTAGATGTAAATTTCTTAAATACCCCCTACTAAAAGGCAGAAATTATAAGATTGGTTAAAAAAGCAAGGCCCAACTATAGGTTGCCTACAAGAAATACACTGTAAATATAAAGATACATATAGGTTAAAAGTAAAAAGACAGGAAAAGATAGACCATGTTAGCACCAGTGAAAAGAAAACTGGAGTTGCTATGTTACTATTGACAAAGTAGCTTTCAAAGCAAAAAATATTATCAGAGATAGAGAAAGCCATCTCATGGTAAAGGAATCAATTAATCAAGAGGACATAACAATTGTCAACATTTATGCACCTTTAAAACACACAAAGTAAGAACTGATTGAACTGCAAGGAGAATAGACAAATCGATAATTCCAGGCAGAGATTTCAACACCCCTCTCTCAGTAAGTGATAGAATACATAGGTAGAAGGTCAATAAGGATACTGCACTATCAACCTGATCTCGTTGACATTTATAGAACATTCCACCTAGCAACAGCAGAACAGCCCTTCTTCCCAAGTGCACACAGAATATGTACCATGGTAGACAATATTCTGGGCCACAAAACAAGTCTAAATAAAAGCCAAAGAATCCAAGTCATATTAAGTATGTTCTCCAACCATAGTGGAATTAAATGAGAAATTAATACCAGAAAGATATCTGGAAAATTCTCCAATGTCAGGAATCTGAATCTTACACTTCTAAATAACCCATGGACAAAGAATAAATTCAAGGGGGAAATTAGAAAGTATTTTGAACTGAATGAAAATGAAAACACAGCATTAGCAGAATTT